CGATCGCGCCAAACTTTTTGAGTGAGTTCATAAATAAGGTGCATAAAAGAAGAACATGCAGCTAAAGCTAAGTTCTGCATTGAAAATTTGTTTAGAAAGAATTTAAAAAGTGGTTCTGGAACTATGCCTCTGATGAGAGCAAAATATTCAGTAGTATTATAAGTGTCTAGCAACCAAACGTTCAACTGATCAATTTCATAATCAAATTATTTATAAAAATAGAAATACTATATAATATATGCATTAATTTTCTATTTTTAGTACAACTTGTGCATATGACTTTTGGTCTAAATTTTATACACTGCTTTGTGATCTTTTTATTTTAATTTTTATTTATTTTTTATTCGTCTTTTCTCTTCTCTTTCATTCTTTTTTTTTATTAATTTAATTTTATTTTTTTTTACTTTTTTTTATTTTATTTATATTCTTTTTATTCATCCTCCCCTTTCTCCCTTCTCCATTTTTTTTTTATTCATTTTATCTTATCTAATTTGGATGATTTCATCTAATTTAATCATTCTGTTAATATGATGATAGTTAATAATTCTTTTTTTATTAGTTTTTTTTGCATTATTTATATTACTAATTATTTCTTTTATTTTTTTTACTTTTTCTCTAGACAATTTTAGCTTTAATTCAAATTTTAATAATTGGTCTATTCACAGTGAAGATAAATAATTTGCCTTTTTTTCTTTTTTAGTTTTTTTTATATTGTTTTATATTTTTCTTTTTTTCTTTTAACGATTTTTAGATTAGGTTTAGATTTTGACTAGATTGATCAGTTTTTTTCAGATTACTAATTGATTTATCTTTTTATTTACAAATATTTTCATATTTTTTGAGATAAAACAAATTTTAAATCTAATACCTAATCTGATATATGGATATCAGGTTATCATATATTTTTAATTTTTGTATTAAAAATAAATTAACTAAATAAACTAAAACTGATAAATAAATACTAGATATTATTGTCTTAATAGCAATCGCATATACATATATTATAATCTCTAAAATCTGTAAGCAAAATATTATATTTATATAATCAAATACCTGCATATCAGATTAGGTATCAGATTCAAAATTTGTTTTATCTTAAAAAATATGAAAACAGCTACAATGCATACAACTTAGTCCCAATAAATATATTTTTAAGTAGCCAATTTTGAAATATCAATCTTTTATCACGTGATCCACTAAACTTGTAATATTATTAGTCTGTGCTTATTTACGTGACAACATATTAACTGATCAGAAGTACAAATAGTTTATCATAAAGTTTAATATATGTATAGAAACAAGACAAAATAAATTTATTATTTAATACATTTCTATTGTGATACATTTCTATTGTGATATATTTTTATTATGATGTAATACAGTACATTTCTCTTATGATTCTCTCCCACTTATTACGTTATTAGCCAATCAATATCACAATGGAAAAATAGCCTAATAGTGATTAACTAACTTACAATAATTTTTTTTTTCACATTGCTTTGTGTTTTATAATTGAAAAATTTTTTAGATTTTACTATAAACCTTAAGGTCAAGAACTGCATCAGCAGCAAGTTTGCCAGCTCATTTGGCTTTTCTTGTACATAAAAAGAATCATTATTCAACAATAAAACTTAATACTTACCAATATGCTGCGTCTGACAAGATATCAAAAATAATCAAGAAGAGCCTACAAAATAAATAATATAAAAGTTAGTAATGATGATGTATCTGCACATGATGGTTCTGTCTATGATGATTCTGAAGGATATGATGATGATCTGAAAGATTATTTTGAAGTTGACAATGGTTCTTCTCATTATAATTCTATTGATGATGAACTAGTGGAAAATGATAATGCTGCAAACATTATAGAAAAACTTTGTGAAGCAACAAGAAAGTATTACCAGGAATATGCTTCTTGAGAAGTATGTAGGTTACGTTATATAGGAAACTCAAATCATACTAAAAGAAGAAAGAATCAACAGCAGCGTAAAGCAGCAAAAGGGACTCTTACTTTACACATCTTTTGGAATACCAAGAAACCTTCTGAAGAAATTGATGAGGAGCTGACTGAAGAGACTAATGTAGAAGAATCAGATGATAAAATTAAAGATTGCGATTGACATAATAAAATTCGGGTTGCTCTCAAAAATCTAATATTAGATCTCAAAAAAGAAAAGGTTAATAGTGAGATTTGGATATGTCTAAATAGTATTTAACTTTACCTTCAACTTATAAAATCTAATTATTTAAAATTGGACGCAAATGAGATTGTTGCTAATGCAGCAGGAAAAGGGATATATCATGCCAGATGCATTCGTTCTTAGGCAAATGATTATATAATGACCCATAAAATTCCTTACTCTCATCGAGAATATCATGCCAAAGTATGAAGCTTTCTTTGGGATGAGGACATTATTCTTCAAGTAAAAGCTTATATTCAGGAACATAAGTGGAATGTTACTCCACAAACACTAATGGTACAGATAAATGAAATTATTTTGCCAGGACTTGGATTTGCATCATCTCCAACTATTCATCTTAACACTGCAAGAAACTATTTAAAAGAACTTGGGTATACATATGCTAAGGTGAAAAAGGAAACATACATAGATGGACATGAAAGGGAAGATGTGATAGCTTATCGTAAAATTTTCTTAGAACAAATGGATAAACTTGAGAATAGGATGTCAATTTTCTCTGGAGACAATTTGAAGGAAGTAATATAGTCAGGTGATAATGTACAACCACTTATTCTTGTCACACATGATGAATGTATTTTTTCAGCTTATGATAGAAGTCAAAGCTTTGGATTCCAAATAGAGAACAACCTTTAAGAAAAAAAGGTAATGAACGCTCCATTCATGTGAGTGAATTCTTAACTGATGTTAGTGGCTGCCTTACACTTCCTGATGAAATGCAAATGTCAGATGATCTCCCTAAAGAAACTTATATCATTATGTACCCAGGAAAAAATAATGATGGATGGTAGAAGACTGAGGATCTAATAAATCAAGTAGTTAAACGTGCTATACCTATATTCGAAGCACGTTTTCCAGGATGCCAGGCTTTGTTTGCATTTGACAATGCATCAAGTCACGCTACTTTTTCTCCAGATGCACTTATTGCCAATTATATGAATCTCAGTCCTAGTGGAAAGCAACGAAAAATGTGCAGTACATATTTTGGTGAAGGGATTCGACAGAACATGATTTTCCATTAGATTATCATATTACTGAATTGCGTGAACAGCCAAAAGGATTAAAGCAAGTTCTGATGGAAAGAGAATTATGGCCAAATAAAGGATTAAAATTGGAAGAAGCAAGAAAAGTAATGAGTCAACAACCAGACTTTTTAGCACAAAAAGGACAACTAGAAGAAATTATTGTTGCAGCTGGATATCAAATTATATTCTATTCCAAGTTTCATTGTGAGCTCAATTACATTGAGAACTTTTGGGATGCAGCCAAGAAATTTAGTCAATCACATTGCGATTACTCATGAAAAGGGTTACAAAAAACCATTCCATTGGCTATTGCTTCTGTTTTATTTACAACTATTTGTCAATATGTAAGAAAAGCATTTCGTTATATGGATGTATACCGAAAAGGCTTGACAGGTCGGGTAGCAGAATTTGCAGTCAAAAAATATTGTTCATATCACCGGATTCCTGATTCAGTTTTACAATCAGTTAATACTTAGAATAGATCAGTTTCGTTTAATATATATTTACTCACACTAGCTATGGATTATGAGCTATAGGCAAAAGAAAAGAAGAAAAATTAGTGATTGTATAATCAAGTAATAGTAATTAGAGCAAAACACTTGAAAATTAGAATACTTATTTTTGTTAAGATATCTATTTTTACTTTTTTTCAATAATAAAGAAGAGAAATATATTATTTAAATATTAAAGGCTCATATTTTGAATTTAAAAAGAAAAATTTATAAACTTGAGACAATATTGTTTTATTCTTAATTTGAGTTACGCTATAAAATATGATCAATATGATTTAGCTAATCAACAATAGGAATATTGATCACGTGTATCACATGTAGGGTGGCTAAAATATCTGATTTAATAGCAAAATGTCCCAACTTTGAATTACTACTGCTCTTTTAAAAACCACTTTACTGGAAATTTAAAATCGTAGTTTTATTGAGCTTGAACTGCTCTATCATTCTACGATTGTATTTTTATTTATCATTTTTTTTAAGAGTAATAATTTTGTCAAATTTATATGTTAGGACTAAGTTGTATACACTATATAATATACAATTTTTTTTGCTTTTTTTGCTTTTTTTTTTTCTTTTTTTTTTTGCTATTTATTTTTTTTTTATTTTTTTTTTATTCTCAATATATATATATATATTTTTTACTTTTTTTTTTTCATTTTTTTTTAAATTATTTTTCTTTTTTGTCTTGAGGAACGGAACTCTAAATACTTTAAGTCTATACATTTATTTTGAGTAGCGAGACCTAGTTTGTACCAAATATCGGCTAAAGACTCAAATTTTTTTTGGGCTATTAAGATACTGAAGTCCTCATCATGCAGCCTGGATACTATTTATAATAATAGTAGCAAATAAGTATCAATTTTATAAATTATAACAAATCCATTAATTTTTTTGTTTTTAGTATAAAAAATATTAATTTATTAAAAAAACATAGAATTTTTTTGATAAAAGTATATTAATTTTTTTTATTATTTTACATTTTATCTTGAGTAACAAACTCAGTTTATATTAAATATTAGCAAAAAACAAATTTTTGACTGAGTACTATTTATATAATAGTAATAAACACCTATCAAATTTTCTAATGTAGAAATATCTTAAAAAAATTAAGAAGTTTTGACTAATATAAGTGTATTTATAATCTTGTAGACATGTATAACATAAATAAACATATACTGCTTATGCGACAAAATAATTTCTCACATAAAAACCACGAATTTTTGAGCAGAATAAAGTTTATTAATATATTTCCGTAATTAATAAAAATTTTTGAGTAATGAAGTGAGAGTAAAATAAATCCCAATTTGCATAATTCAAATTTGTATAATCACAATGCCTTTGTAAATCATGCTCTTATTTTTAAATAGAAACTTTTGGCGTTAACATAAGTTACATATTCTTCTGCTTAGTCAATATCTTGAGAAATGTAATTATAAAGAATATAAAAGGCAGTATAATGAAAATTAGGATATTTATCACTTTATAATCATTTATTTGTTTACGTGATATACTATTAACATTTCATTATGTCTTCTTCTGAAATATTTAACAAAATTCTTAATTTTTTACATAATTCACCTTCAGATCATATTACTGCATTTTCTGT